TGCTGAAGATTGCAATGACCCAGCAGATTTCCTTCCTCAGCCATCTTAATCTTCTCCCTTGGCAGGCATCTTCCATTGTTTTGCAAGATTATGAAGGGTGTGCCAGCATTGTACCAGAGCTTACTTTTGCTGATTACTACAACTTCTGTGCTGAGCCAACTGTGCCATTCTATTCATGGATGATTCAGTGTGGGAAGGTTGCTGCCTATCCCTTCTGCAATCGTATCCGCCAACGGGCCCGCATTGCATCTTTGTTGACGACTGGAACAGAGGCCATTCAGGGATTTGATACTGAGGAGATCCAGGAGGTTGCCGAGAGTGTGCCATTGCACTCTGAAACGAAGCAGGCTTCTGTGGGAAGTCTTCAGAAACAGAAGAAATCCATGAGAGACATCCAGTGTCAAGCTTGCATGAGAGCTCTTCGTACACAGTCCTCCATGAGAGGCTTCCAGAAGAAACCATCCATAGGAAGCCTTGAGAAGGAACCTTCGATGAAGGGCCTTCATCAGAAGCAAGCTTGCACGAGGAGATCGAGCACAAGGCGGTCCACCATTCTGTCCCGACCAGAAATGATCCTCTTGGCCCACGATGAAGACGAGCTCTACCTCAGTGACAGTGAGGATGAAGGTGACAACTCTTCACGTCCCAGCCTTAGCAGCGGCAGTCGCGGTCTTAGCAAGAAGAATCGTACATGGGCACCAAATGCTATCATGAGCAGGACTATTGGCCCCGGGTTCAGGAAGACTGTTACAGCTGATGCTGTTTTGTACAGGGGGAGTGGACACTGTGGCAGGGTTATGAGATTGGACAGCTGCATGGTCAAGCGACTGGATAGCCCTACAAGTGTGACGGAGACAACTGAATCCAGCCAGAAGAGTTCTCCAAACGCCAGCAACACAAGTCTTTCTACCAGTTTCTCGGACATGCAAGAATTGCCCGTGTTGAAGAGCAATGTGCCTCTTGTGAAAGTTTCCACCGATGTTCATGGCCGTGTTGCCGTGGACTGTTGATCTGTGCCGGTATGGGGAATGCTCGTGCCCATCCTACGTCTTCCCGACCTCGTTCTCGTTAAAAGGGCGATAAGATTCTCACATTTTGATTGAATCGTTCGTCTTCCATTGATACATGACATTGTTATGAAAGTAAACTTCTAATTCCTAGTAGACAAAGATGATTCCCTATAGTATGGTCTACTCGTAGCGGACGTTGCATACACAAAGGATCGCACAAGAAGTTCTGGCTGCTTCTTGAGGACCTCAATGACCTTGGGACCGGCCGAGCTTGTGGACATCAAACCTGTTGTTGCCATATAGATGAGGACGGTGAGAACAGTCTTGAATTTGGTGAGCATCACCACAGGACAGAGGCGGTGACACGTCGGGCATCTTCTCAAGATCCTACCGTACCCGTGGGACACCCGGTCAACATACAGGCCCGATCTGGGAAGTCGGGATCCACCAAGGCGGACTCAATGCTCCGAGAGTCAAACTACCAGGTAGACAACTTCACTTCCTAAGCTTACACTCTTGTGCTGTGCTAGACAAAGGTGAAGAGGCTAGACGAACGCATTCCTACTAGCTAGATAACACAACAGCCATTCAGTACTGATTCGATTCCAAGGCCATCGAATCCTCCGAAACCGCTCGTGGTTCATCGTTCAATCGAACACTGCCAAGTGGAATCAAATCTCCTCACTGGAGTAATCTTGCCTGGGCATGGCACGATCTAATATGAGCCAAAAGCTGATTCGATCCCCGTTTCGCAGCGCTGGCTACATGTACGGTAGGCATGCAGCCGGAGCAAAACGGTAGAGCTCGTCTGCTAGCATACCAATTCACACCACCCGAGAAGCTAGAAGTTTCTGAATGGCAGCTACACCGAAATGAAGGACTTCTGGTGGTAGTAAAGTAACAAAGTAAGTAAGTGACAATTAGATAAGTTCAAGTCTTCTGTGTTTTAAAACTGAGTTGTATGCACCCAATCCGAACAATAATAGAGTGCGTAAAAAGAATGTAAATGTAGAAAGGGCAAATAATGAATAATCCCGTGCGCTGGAAGTTGCGACTGTTTGATGTAGATATCCCAATGGTTTCCTTATTAGTAGCAGAGTACAGCCAGCAATCATATCATAGCATTGCCAGCCAAACCGCTCATGATGGCCGGACCCTTACATGGCGGTCTCGTCGGTGGCACCGAGCCAGAACGGCTCGGTGGTGTTGCCTTGGAAGCTGCTTTCGTAGTTGAGCAGAGCCATCATTTCGTCTTCACCCATGGATGTCTGAACGAACTCGTCGTCCTTGAACGCGCCGTTGGGAGCAAAGCGAATGTCCATCCAGGCATCGGCAACCGATGGAGAATGACTGTAGTCAATGATGGATGGCTCTTCTTCGGAGGAGAAGGAATCGGAAGAAGAAGTGGTGGAAGCAGTACTCACGCTGGAGTCGTCGTTGCTGCATCGGACGCGCTTCACACGCTTCTCAGCCTTCTTGGTAGAGCTCTTGGTAGATTTCTTGGTAGTCATATTGGTCAGCTGTGTCGCACAGTGCTTTTTCTTTTCGTCTCGCATCGACTGAGAAATCTTCTGGTAGATGGCTTTGAGATCTGTGGGACAGGCGGGCAAGAGCTCGTAACAACCGGATGACTCAAACTTGAGAAAGCGGCCTCCCATCTCGGAAATGGGACGAATCACGAACTCTTTGACGTATGCCTTCTTGGCCCGAGTTTGGTGATGGGCGATGCTGGAGTAGGGGACCCAATGATGCTCGATCAAGTCGCGAAAGCACGTGTTCTTGCGGCATTTGTTGCTCCCTCCACCTCGACCAAAGACGGCGTCATTTTTGGTGGGGGCAATGGCAGTCGGGCGCGGCATGGTGCTCTTGTTGAATTGAAAAAAGGATTGGTTTAGTTAGTTGTTGGATGGTTGGTTTGGTTTGATGGTTTGATAGATTGCTCGGAATGCAAATTGTGAGATCTTCAGATCGATTGGAGGTTGGAGGGAGGGGTGAGGGGTATCGAGTTGTGAAGAACCATGTAGGATGTGGTAGGATTTGTACGTGAATCACAGCAACCTCTCGGAAAGATACTCAATCTGGTTTGTGAAGAACCATGAGGCAAGGACGATAGCTGTAATGCTGTAGGATCTAGTAGGCTTTTTACGTGAAAGTGAATTGCAGACATCTAGTGATGTCGCAGGAAAACAGGCTCAGAAAGATACTTAAAGGTCCTCAGCAGTGAAAAGAAGTCGTGCTTTCCTTGTATATTCACTCTCATCGAAGCGGTGCAATCGTTAAACAAAACCGGGGCAAATTTAGAAAGCATCTGAACCAGTTCTGGTTGAAAGCGAAAGCTGAACAATCACAGTTGCCAGATTATACTGATGCGATACCCTGATAATAAGATTAACAGATGAGATTGGCATTGCCGCCAATCCTTGTACCGTACCGGTACAGTACTAGCTAGTAGCTGCCGGGCCTCGCGGGCTACGATTAGCAGATCTAAAATCAAGGTATCGACGATGGATTAGACGTACCATACAGATTCCTCAACAGATGGCACGTGCGCTGTTTCCCAGTCATAGAAATTACAGGATCCAAGCACGAGCCAATGCTGCGATGGATATACCGTGCCACTGCCACTGCCACTGGCCCTGCTAGCTGCTACCGGTAGCGCTATTACCACCTAGCTAGAGCTATTGGAGGGGTTAGCCATAGCCATAGAACGCTCTGAGGGTTGACTGTTGCTTCTTCGTTTCTACCAGCTGCAGCTGCCAGTTTTAGCTTCGAAGACACCAAGACGACCAACACACGCACGCAGCTGTCTCTTTCACCATAAGTAACAGCAAAGAGCTCAGTAAAGGCATAAAGGCATCTTCCAGGTGCTCCCAATTCAAACATACATGGTGCCCACAGCTGTGCCCACACATCTGCCAGGACAAGATCAGACTGTCTGCAGGAGCAATTGAAAGGATATTCACGACCAAGACCACATAGGCAGCTACTAGAGTAGTAGCCCGGGTCGGCGCGAATCTAGTTGGATACAAAGAGCAATCTTTAACACATGTCTTATTTATTAGCACACCCCAGCCACTGCACTAGCTCCCGTAGCTAGCTGCTACTGGAGTTTACATTGATTATCCAAGAAGATTGATACACTTTCCATAAAGGCTAGTTCAAAATCCTTGATTGGTATTGAAAAAGAATCAGTTGGGTCAATGGGACGGTCATTCACTTCTAACTGATGAGATCGATGAAGGCAGCCTGCGATCTGGGCCAGGAATTCAAAATGTCGCCAGCCACGAAATGAAGGAGGACGAATCTCAAGCAATGTGGTGCCAGGACGAGCGAGCAAGATATGTGTAAGGCCTGCACCATGCATGCCAACCACAACATCCGCTTGCTGGAACGTGACAATTTGCTCAGCCATATCATGTTCTTCCAAGACTACCCGTTTAACATCCATTTGTGGGAAGTTATACTCAGGCAGCCTATCATCTTCAGGACCCTTGTAGGTTTCCAGAAAGTGCAAGAGCTGTTTTTCGTTTTGAATGATACGAGATACCCTGCCATCCATGCGAGGATGGGCTTGATAGTTTGCTCGTGCCAACAACAAGACTCGGAGACTGCGCTTCTTTGGCTGTTTCTTCGTTTTGGGTGCCACTTGTTGTTGGTTGGGATCATCGGGTGCTTTGGGATGCAGACATGGAAATGGATCTCGTTTGTTGTCATGATGTTCCACAGCATAATGATCATAGAGCCATGCCTTGGAATTTGCCAATTGTCGTTTGGAATTGATGACAAGAGTGTTGCGGAATCTTCGTTGCCACTTGTTTTCCTTGCATGTTTCAAAGTAATTGGGACCCTGGTCCATGAAACCAACAAGGTTTTTAATGGGAGTCAATGAGGTGGGTGCAAGGTACCCTGCAGGTGCAAATATCACATGACGAAAGCATGCAGGCTCTTTCTTGTCGATATTTTTGTATTCTGATATGTAGGAGACTGTGGCATGGGAAAAGAGCAACTTCCATCCCATGTCTGTTTTGGCTTGGGCATGCCCATCAAAAAAGACAATGTGTACATTTTCCACTGCTGTTTGGTTGCCATGCAATGCAATCATGGCCGCTTGATAGGCACTGTACCAATCGGAGTAGGTATGGTATAGATTAGCATATTCGTACCGTGTCACTAACAGAGTCGGCCGTTCTTCGTAGGAGCTGCATTCCACATTGTCAGTTCCAAAGACTTCTCCTCCCATGAGAGTATCTCCGGAATCTTCCCGTTGTTCTCGCAGACTGTTCACCATGTGAAAGAGATGATAAGGTAGATCCTTTCTGTTGATGTGTTGTTCGCTGAGAGTGCATTGAGATAGTTGCAAGGCACCAGATTCGTAGGTGGGCATTTCATCCTGTTCCTCACGGCCCAACACTTGATAAATGGCCTCCCCTCCCTGGGCAACATTGATTTTGGATGGATCCACGATGAGATTGGTGGCTTGACAGAAACTGGAGTTGAGGAGAGGATTCCATTGACACCAGAGTTCCCCACCGGCAGCAGCATCTCGATGATGTTCTTTTTCATTTTTCGGGGGTTTTGTTGTTGGTAGGCAAATGGAATAGTTGGGAGAACTCTCCTTGGGATATCCCAGAAACTGAGAGCACTCACCATCTTCTGCTTCTGGTTTGCTGAAATTGGAATCTTTTAGACGGTTGGCTTCTGGTGTATCTTCCAGGAGGAGAGATGAACGCTTCGTTATTTCGAGCCACTTGTCCTTGAATTTCGGACTACCGACAGCCTTTTTGGAGCGTATCAGATCCAGATGATCATGAATCATGCTCCATCCCGCACTGGTACTGGTAGTGCCTGCTGATGATTCGGCAACGGGATCAGCGCAAAAGAGCAGTACATGTATGAGGAAGGTAGAACCCAGCAGCGCCGCAAAGAGTCGAAAATCGTCGTCTTTCAGTATGGGGAAGCGAGAGAGCCGACGGCGTCGGAGAGTCTTTGCGTTGATTCCTTCCATGATAATATAGTATTGAAAAGAGAGAAAGACGAGACAACAATGCTCTAGCTAGCTAGTGAAAGTGAGTGGAAGATTGGGCTTGAAGACGATCACTTTTAAAAATTGACTTTTGGTGAAATTGATCTGTCTCATCAGGCTTGCTTGTGCATGTTGCGCACCAAAACAAATAATGAGTGGGGAGGAGCCGGCAGCCTCGCGGCGATTACAAAGGTTGAGTCCTCAGATACTCGTGACTACCTTGACCGTTGCTTTTGACTTGAACACTTCCGAGATCTTCCTCTTCCGAACAACACCCACAACAAACAACAGAGCTTGTTGCTGTTGCTGAAAGGTACTAGCTAGCTAGCTAAAGTAGATATAAAGCCATTGCAAGCAACAGTAGATGCGAGTATCTGAACCTGTGGTACGTAGAGGGACGCACAATCATCGACAAAATCCATCCACTTTTTCTCCCACCACCGACACCGATAGCCCAAGAAACCCTCCTTCATCCTTCCGCCGCCACTCCAAGAACCATTCATCACATCCTCTCCTTGAGTCCTTTGCCCAAACACTAGAATCGAAACTTACTTGGAACAACATGACTCCTTATGTACTGCAAGGCCTGTACTATTTCCTACGGCACAAAGTTCTGTGGAAGACATCCTTGTGTCCCATTTTATGGGCCTTGCTGTTTGCCATTGCCACCTTTTGCATTCTCTTGCCAATAGCATTCATCCCACAAGTAATTGCTCTGTCCACCGTCATGACACCATGGTTGGGAGTCCCGTTGGCATTGGTCCTGGCACTCATTGAAATGTTGATTATCATCATGCTCTTTAGTGCCATTGTACTGTTACCCATCACGGACAAACTGTTCGATCAAGTCTTGACTCTACGAGGACATGCGGAGCTCGTCGAGGCGGATAATGGCATGGCGTGTTGTGGATGTTGCAGTGTCGTGGGCATTGTACATCTCTTTGTCTCCATCATTACGCTCCCGCTAAACTTGATTCCCGTCGTCGGCACTGTCCTGTGGTTGTTTGTCAATGGTCGTCTCTACACGTGGGATACCTTTTCTCATTATCACTACGAGCTCAAGGGACGCAGTTTCAAAATGCAACGCAAGTTTGTATCGGACAACGCCATGGCCCATCATATATTTGGTATGCAAGCCATGGCACTGGAAATGATCCCATTTGCCAATGTGTTTTTTGTATTTACCAACACGGTGGGAGCTGCCTTGTGGGCGGCAGATATGGAAGATCGATTGTTGCAGAATGTCGAGTACGACTCTGGAAATAATAAGGCCAACGACAACAAGAATAGTACCACCAACACCGAGACAGAGAGTTACCCCACGGAAGAAACCAATCTAACCAAAGCAAAGTACACGGCATAGCCAACCGGCACTAGTACGATCAGGTAGAAGATCACTTTGCAGCAAAAGCAATGCCGAAGGTTCCGATAGCAACAACAGCATGCAATCATCTTGACTGTTACCAATACGCAATCACCATGTACGTGCCGCTGACGACGCGTCATCGGAGTCTATGTAAAAGCGATGAGGTGTCTACATGTAAGCTCGATTGAGGGGCCTGCCGTAGCTTCCTGTGAATGACAGAAGTGGCTGAAGATGTAAAACCCATGAAAATGAAACGTTGGAACTATGTAGAGTAGTAGAAAGTGGTGTTTGTCTCAACTCTATTACTTTGAAAATCTTTATCAGAAGAAGACGGGTTGCCTAATGTTAGTTGTCGAGCCTCACATCTACCCTAACCGTATCCCAAAGGACAGATAGTTCATTCTACCAGATCCATCCACGCCGTCGGAAACACACCGCCAGGCAGTCCAATCTCGCGCCGAAAGGCAGACGCCAAGTTCTGATCGGTGGAATAGACCTTGTCCAGAAAACAAATGGCGTTGCGGGGCATGCCGGTGACAATATGGCGCTCTCCCCAAGGGATGCTCCCGGCAACGACGGAACCCTTGTCGTCGTTGAGCACCTCCACAGTATAAAAAGCATCCCCTTCTTTGCGATCGAGAATTCGACATGGTCGTAGATAGTCTGGGACCATCCGGGTGTGCGGGGGCCATGCTTCGTGAGTTACCTTTCGGCAGGTGTCTTTCTTGGCGGTGGTGACATGCTGATGATGAGGCCACGGATGATACTGGATGGTTTCCGAGTATTGATAAACGCAGAATGTTTCCACGTTGTCTGGATACGGGTTTTGCGCCTGTTCGTCTTGTGTTCGTACCATCTTGAGTTGATTGAGACGCGACGCATACACATACGGAGGAGATCTGCTACGATCGTTGTCGGGTTGAAACTGCTGCACGTGGCGTGTCCAAGCATCATGCCAGGTTTGACCGTAGTCTATCAGAATCTGTTCTCCCTGGGAAATGTCTCGCGTGGCAACCACCTCCAAGAGGAGACCCCAGCGGCGACTTGCCAAAATGTCTTGCGCCGAGTCTTGCAGACTTTGCTCCAAGTTTTGCGCCTGAGCGGACCACCGCAGGACAGCATTTGTTGGCTCGTCCTTGCCAACGCTGTTGATATAATTGACAACCGGCGAGTACGGGAACAGGAGCAATGTGCTGTTTTCATGTCCGTAGCAGTAATTGAGTAGCAACTGTTTCTTGGCATTCGGATAGCGACTGTCCGTGTAAATGTCCAAGGAAGTGCGGTTCAGTGGTATCAATGGCAGTGGCGCCACCACAGTTCCTTTTGAAAGATCTCGAGTGGCAAATGCACCTCTTCCTCCTCGACCAGGTGCTTCCGCACTGGCAATATTGTCCAAGCACATGCCATTTGTCTGCAGCTCGGAGACTGGTTTTTGCAAGGATGCTAGGGTCAATGGAGCTGCTAAATCGGTAGTAGCATGTGCCAGCTTTTCCCCGACAAAGTTTTGTCCATAGTTCACCAATATCTCTTGTCCTTTGGGAACTGCCTGAATCGCGAAATACTGCCGATTGTGGTAATGCGTAAACGAGCCAGCCGTTGGCGACCCCCTGGTTCCCTCCGTTCCTGGTTCCGGAGGGGTTGGTTTGCCAGCCATGGCCTGAAAGTGGTGATCCCATCCAGTGTTGCTGAGCATACTCATACCAGGAACCACCGTCTGAACCTCTGTGCCTTCCACGGTGCCATACTTGGCCTTCCAAGTGTAGTTGTAGAGAAGATGCGCCAATCCCTCGTACTGGTGATTCTGTACATCCACCAGCTGGATCCTCATATCACCGTACAAGAGCTTGTCTTGGGGCTGAATATCCACCAAGGAAAAGATACCCCAGCCAGCACTACTATTGCCACCAGGTACCATGGATTGGCTCATGACAAAGCGACACGGAGATGCAGAATATGACCCGAGGGCCTCTTCCAAGTCTGAAGATTGCGGTTCTGGCAGCAGAGTCGTCCAATTGATGATGCCATGATCTAGAGCCACTCTTTGCGATCGCCCCAGTAATAAAGTGGACCAGTGGCTTGACTCTTTGGCCTGAGAAAATGACCTCCACAAACACAAACCGGCCACGACAGGGAAGAGGTACTCCAGGACAGATACCACTTTTTGGCCTTTGCTTTCGCCATTCACCGAAGAATCATCGACCTCTTCGAAAGTGGTGATGGATGATGCTGGTGCATGGTGCTTTGACTTCTTCCTCTTTTGATGATGATGAGACTTGGCGGTCATGGTCCACAATATGCACACCTCTACAAAAACAAAATGTGCATTGGCCGAGATCTCCTCAAATCGCGCATTTTGAGAGCACAGGTACCGTACAGTACTGCGAGGACGTTTTGGAGCACTGCAAAGACCGGTAAAGTCACCTGGTTGAGGAATTATTAGAAAGAATCCACGTGCTCCCGTGACTTCAAATTAAAGCCGGCAGAACGGCTTGAGCAATTATGACCAGAAGTGGATTTCGTGACGGTGGCCCACATGTTGCTCTTGGTGATGTTCGTGGTGCTCTACTAGCTAGACCGCTGTTGATGAAACACCAGAAGGTTGGCAGGGTCCAGGTCCAGGTTTTGATACTCTCGTGCGTGTAGGAGGAACGTTGGCAAATTTGCCTCAAAAGCGACGAGGAGTGGCAGCACCCCGGTTGCTGATGGACGTAAAACCAACATTCCAGGAACGTTCAGAGCCATGTTGATGAGGACAAACGAGTTAGTCTAGTATTCATGTTACACGCTAGAAAGTACAGTACCGGTGCACTTGTAGCTGGTCTACTATTACAGTCAAAAACATGTCTTTTAAAAAATTCTATTATGGTTTCTTTTTCAAGTAGTGGTACCTGGTACTAACTAACTTGAAGGATAAGCTTCCGCCTTGCAATGAAAGTAACGTGAAAGCCTGTTGTGACCAAAAAGCAAGTAATCAAAATCAGCACAACCTTCTGTGGCAGCCTGATTGACAGCCCAAGTTCCCCAATACAAGTGATTAACCAGAATGAACGCCTGGACTTGATCGTACCACTTTTGGATTTCCTCGTCAGAGGGTGTTTGTTGCTGTTGGGATGATGATTCGAGATATACCTTGAGAAAGGCACATTGATCCTCCTTATTGGGGAACCAGTCGTAGTTGGTCACACCATTTTCGGTACTGCCACCGGCAAACTCGTTAAAGTGATTGGCAATGTCGAATGCCTTGTAGTTGACTCCACCATATTCGAAATCCACCAATCGAAGGACACCTGTTGTTGCGTTATAAAGCACATTGGCGCCCAATACATCATTGTGACAAAATGCCACTGGCAAATCCGACGGCACCACGGTGTTTCGCAACCACTCAAATTCGGTATCCAAATTCTTTAGTAGCGACGAGACCATGGTTTCTGCACGCTCCGTGTCGTTGCCAAAATCCGTGGCCCGCATGGCTTGTTCCATCCAATCTTGCAGTTGCGTCCACAAAGACGGTTGTTGTGGATTGTGGTAGTCGACCAATTCGTCGGGAATTTCGAATTTGGCATGCAACAATGCCATTTGCTCGGCAATCTTGGGGGAAATGGCGGGCAACGCCATGTCGCGTGGCGTCAGGCATGCCATCCCGTCCAACCATCCTTCCAAGCGACCGTTTTGAAAGCGACCAAAGTACGGAGGTGCCAGACATTGGGTCGACAGGGCCGCAAAGGTGGAATTTTCCACATCGCGGTCAATCATTCCTTCGGCGCCAAAAATACGAAGGAGAATCGAGGAGGGAACGCTCTTGTTGCCGTTGGAAGTTGTCAGTGTGACGCGAAACAATTGGTTGGTGATTCCACCCGATACGACCGAAATGGGCCAGTCATTGCGGACGGGAATGCTCAAAATTTGGGCCACAACCTCACGGATCGATGCATGGTCGGCACCATCGGCTTTCAGTAAGGGGAAGTAGGGTTTGCCGTCTACAATCACATGGCCAGTAGTGCTCTTGACATCGTCTCGTGCAGCAATGTACGCTTTGGGACCACTCATTATTAGTATTGTTCAATCAATGCAGTACTTTTTGTGTGTGTCTTCTATTGGCTTTTTGCCCAAGGTTGTATTCGTGTGGTCGCTGGTGACGGCGGTGCTGTATGCAATCCGGCTTTCGTGGCCAAAGATTTACCTTTCGTCATTGTTGCCAGGTCAAAATTAGCCAGCAAGAGCTGTAGAAACCCCAGCAGGAGGAAAGTCAACAACCCCAAGAAACTCCGCAGGAGCCTGCGGCGGATCCAAGAGTTTGGTTTGGTTCCGTCCATCCGTCGGGTAGGACCTGTAGCGGGACCCTGGGCCAAATGGTTCCTCCTCGTCCACTACAGACTAACAATTTCCAAAGGCTCTCCTCCAGATTAGTAGAAAAGAGATTGGCAATCATGCTGCTGCTGGTGTGTGCCGGGAAAGTGCAGTGGAAGGCACAGGTGAAGGTCCCACCCTGCAAACGTTTGTCGGTCCCAAGACTAGCTATTATGTATGCTCCCGTACCTTGTACCGGTACGAAGCATGGTGCAATCAGCTTGCGAGTTAGATGCACTTCGGCATCCAGATCTAATAAATATATATATATATATTGATGGCTAAATGCGCGGCGCCTTCAAGCAAGGTTGAGGACAGCAACCACCCGTAGTTTCGCCTTGCAGAGAAATCTTGTGTTGTTGCCCGTAAAGGACGAATTACGGAGGGCGAGGCGGTGGAGGCTGCTGCGGACTGCCCAAGCTCTGCAAGAGTTGTGCCACGTTGGTGGCACCGGCGCTCGCACGATTTGATCCGCCAAACTCTGTGCTTGGCTGCTCAAGTTGACGTTTGCAGCCGTCGGACCACCCGGACCAGGATTCCCCATGCCTTGATTGACCATACCACCGGAAAGGAGCAACTGTTGGGCTTGCTGAGCCAGCTGGCTGTTGCCAGTCAAGAACTGCTGCGCTTGGCTTGCCATGTTGGTGCCATTGGCGGTGCCAGCGCCATTGTTCATGTATTGCTGTTGGGCCGGGATGGAGGAGCCTTGCATGCTGACAACGGCAGAGTTAGCAAACTGTGGCTGCTGTTGCGGCATGTGTGCTTGCTGGAAAGCAGGTTGGCTCTGTTGCGCCTGAAAACTGCTGCTCAGGACGTTGGCATTCTGATTGCCGCTCCCGCCGACACCAGCTGCACTGGCAACGACGTTACCACCGAGATTGCCCATAGCCATAGCCGATACCCCGCCTTGACAGGTCATGGCAGCCATCAACAATTGCTGTCCCTGTTCCTGGTTCAAGTACCCAGAATTCAGGAGTCCTTGAATCTGTGTTGCCAAGGCTCCTAATGGATGAGCAGCATTATTTGCACCGAGAGGCGGAAACCCTGGTTGAGCTTGCGACTGTGCGATCTGTGGTTGCTGCGATTGCAGCTGTACGCTTGCTTGCTGAGCAGCTCCAACCTGTTGAGACTGGATTTGTTGCTGCTGCTGCTCGTACTGAGGCTGGACATTCATTTGCTGTTGCACCGAAGGCGTTTGCTGCTGCTGCTGCTGATACTGAGTTTGTGCACTTGTTGGCCGTGCTGATGAATGTTGCTGTGGCAGTGTCTGAGAAGGCTGATGCTGGGACTGGGCATACGCTTGATGTGATGAAGACTGCTGTACTTGTTGTTGGTCGGTCCGCTGCTGATGTTGCTGCTGATACTGAGCTTGTGCATTGAGTCCCTGTGATGAAGGCTGCTGTTGCGGTTGGGGTGGCTGCTGATACTGAGGCTGTGCATATGCTTGCTGCGATGAAGACTGGTGTAATTGTTGCTGGGGCTGTTGATACTGATGTTGTGAACTCCCTCTCTGTGATGACGGATGTTGCTGCGGTTGCGGCTGGGATGGCACGACGGGCTGCTGCGAACTCAAAATGGTCCGCTGTTGGGCTTGAGCGGCAGGCTGAGAGGACTGGGCTTGATTGAACTGCTGATGTTGTGGTGGCTGCTGGGCTGTACCAGTACCGCCTTGCCCTCCTGGGTTGTTGGCCGCGCCCAACGGACTACCTTGGATAAGCTGTCGCAACTGGTTGGCCACTGGCCCACCGCCAGCAAGAAGATGTTGTACAGCATTGATTCCATCCGTGCCACTACTTGCAAGGAGCTGTTGTAGCTGCTGCAACATGTTGCCATTTCCACTTGCAACAAGCTGCGCCAAAGCGTTGCTGCCTCCATCGCCAACTGCAAGACCCTGCTGAGAATTGCTGTTCGCGGCACCGGTCTGATGAGGTGGTGGTTGCTGAACAGTAAAGCCTTGCTGTTGCTGCGGCTGAGGTGCATTTGCCGCAACAGACGTGGTCGCCTGAAGTTGGGGAGGTGCCTGGGGAGTGTTGGTGGCAACATTCGTCGACAACGGTGCAACACTCTGTGGTGCGGATGCAATCGGAGCGGGAGCGGGGGCTGTTGGGCCTATCGGCTGCGGTGGCTGAGATCCAGGTTCGACAGGCTCGATCCCACTTTGGGCAATAAGTCGGTTGACCCTTTCGAGGGCATTTTCCAAGTGCATGTTATCTGCCTTGAGAGTCTGGTTAAGAGAGGTCAACTCGGTGCATTGCTCGTTGAGGACTTCTATTTCGATCTTTTGTCTGGCGCGCTTCTTCTTGGCAGTAATGCGGTTCATTCTCCGTTTCTTTTCTTCTTTGGTCTCGTTGGGAGGTATTGGTTCCTCCGCAAAGAAAGGTACCTTGGACTGCTTCGGGGCACGAGCTGCTGCAGCCAACAGGGCAGGAGAAGCAGGGATAGTGGTAGTTGGAGGTGGCTTTCGAGCTACCTTGATCTTTTTCTTCTTCTTTGCTGCAAACTGTGCCTTTGCGGGTGGCATAGATGCCGAGGACTGACTTATCTTGGAGTGCACGCTAGCAGCAGAAGGAGCCGTCGCGACGGAAGCAACCTCGGCCTCGTGGTGGTGACTAGTGTAGTGCACGGTAATCTTCTCGGGTGGTTTTCCCGTAGCGCTAATAGCAGCTCGGGCGCTAATAGCAGCCCGTGCGCTACTTGCAGCGGCAGGGTTATTCAAGCTGCTAGTTTCAACGTCGTCAGCCACTTGATCATCTCCCGCAGCAACTTTGCCATCGGCTTTGGGGGAGCTCTTCGCGGCAGCGGGCTTGGTGTGATGTTGGGCAGTCTTCGTATGATGGGGGGCAGCCTTTGCCGCCGGCTTGGCTTTGGGCTTCTTGTCCTTGTTCCCACCTGATGATCCCCCAGTACTCGAGTTGCTATCGTCGGCATCCTGTTCACTCTTGTTAGACGGTCGATCGTCACTGCTCCCGTCATTGGAGGATGACAGTGCGCTGAATTCCCCGCCACCATTGGTCCAGCCAGAAGCACCCGCCGGTCTCATGACGCCTTCGTCTTTTTGCGCTTCATTTGCAGCACCTTTGGCTTCCCCTCCTCGACCATCATCCCTTCCAATGGAAGAGCCTTCATTTTCATTCTTACTTGAGGGACCATTGTTGGAAGAACTTGCAGTGGCGTCTGGACACTGACGGCGTTCGCTTGTGGACTGCTGCTGCGAAGAACGTTCTGATGAGGAAGTTACACGGTTCTCCTCCGCCTTCTTGTTCTCTTGCTGGGCTGTCTTCTTTGTCTGCTCCTTCTGCCTTGCATCGCGAGAGGACTTTGTTGTATCTTTGTCCCCTTTTGGGTCTCGCTGTGCCTCGGCATTTTGTTTGTCCTGCTTGCCATCTTCCGACCCGCTAGTGCTGCTCGCTCCATCGTCCTCTTCGTCAGCGTTCTTTGACTGAGGCCGCTGTTGAGGTTTGTCTGTGGATGACTCAGCCTTTGCCTTGGAGGACTCTTTGTCCTTTTGCGATTTGGCCGGATCCCTTCTATCCTCTTCGCCATCTGGGGGCTCCGAGGGTCGCGAGGGCTTCTTGGCAGATGTCTCCGTGTGTTTCTTGTGCTGTACATCTCCTTGACTGGATCCGTCTCCCGAGTACAAGGACACGGTCTTTCGGTGTTGCCCCACGTCCCGGCTATTGTTGCTGCTGCTTGTAGTACTGCCGGTACCATCATTACCACTTCCACTCCCGCTGTTGCTGCTTGATATTCCTTCAGTATTGGTGGACGAAGCGAGGCTGCTGCTGGTGATTGTCGATACAGCGTTTTGCGCAGGTCTTGGTTCTCTGGATCCTGACGATGGTGATGATACTGCTTCACACGTCTTCTGGTTTGACGAGGTTGCATCACTGCCTGTTACAGATCCGAAAGACAACTTGTGCGGTCCCGTGTTCACCACCCGTCCGCTCCTCGCTTTTACTGGACCTCGGCCTTTCTCTTTGGGCTCCGGTGTCTGGTCCCCTTCATCTGTCTTGGCGCTTTCTCCCGCCTCGTTGTTCTTCCCCGAAGGAGAGCTTGCTCGCCCATCGTCGCTCCCACATACACGGCTGGTCCCATCATTGTTGGAGCTCACGCTGCCCATGCCTCCTTCTTCCACAGCGCCGCCTCGGTTGTTGCCTGTACAGCCTTCTTCGTTGCTGCTCGTATCATCGCCATAGATCGCGACATACTGAGCAAGCACACTACGTACATACGCCAGCTTGTCGCCTTCTTCTTCACTCCTGTCTTGATGTGGACTGGAGACGGTGGCGGCGTGGCCTCTATGGGCGCGAGCTTCGGCTTCAGCCGATACTTCAGCTTCTCGCTTCCGCTTCCTTGGGTTATGACTCTCGCTGTCCATGGTCGAAATATGTGATGATGTTGTGCCTTCTGGTCCCTTGGACGGTCTTGTTGCTTGCTTGTCGCGGTGTAAGCGCAAGGTTCAGAGGTTCTCTTTTTGTTGTGGAGCTGTCGTAGACGATGTACCTCCTACAATGGAAAGCTCGACTTCGACTACTACCACTTCTGTTTGGTTTGTTATGCGAGCACCCAACTATCACAAGAGGAGCAGGGTAGGGGTTGGTTTGTTCTTGAGTCCTTGTCGTTTATTAGCTTTGTTGCGATGTTGGTTGCGATGTTGCGGTTGACTCGACTCTCTTTGGTCTGAAGCTAATTGCCTCGTCGGTTTTGCTGCTGCGTAGGATGCACGTAGCGCCAGTAGTCAACGCAGCTTCAGCAACAGATCGGAGAGTCGCTCCTTTCGAGCTTGACCCAAAACAGCTGCTTCCCCCTCTTACATCATTCCCAACAGTTTCTTTCCAAGTGATCAATGTCGTCTCGGTCGGCATGGGTATATCCAAAGTAGCTAAATTGTTTATTTACCCCATCTTTGATTACGAACGAAGGAAAGGATTGATTTAACCAAAGTTCTTTTCGTGGCAGCAACAAGACAGATTGATGTGAACAGCCCGACATGCGACATTGCATACGTACCAAATGAGTGGTTTAGTTGGCACATGACCAGCAACCGAACTGGCGAGTATCCCAACTAACGTCACTACGAGTGAGCATCTGGGTCAAATCTATTGAATATGCTAAAAAACTAGCTGAAGAAGCTTGGTTCCTCATAGGTTACCCATTCTCATCCTTTCCTTGAATATGGCCACCTCCCCAGGCGTAAGTAGTGCGGGCACGCAGGAATAGCAGGCGGGGCCTCAGGCTTCAAACATGATTGGCTGATCTCTAAGATCCACCTTGCTTTAATGAACGACTGCATCGACATCTCGAAATTCAAAACTTACGCACGCAAAAGAAGGTGTCCATTCCTTCGACATTCCAAGTTCGTGATAAGTCGAGACCCATGCCACGACCACCTGTAGTTACGGTCACGGGACCATACGGTACTTCTGACGCATGATGAGATTGCCGGTGCACTTGAGCTTGCACTTATCATACTTTAGAAGTCTTCTGTGTCTATGATGGAAAAAAAGAAAAAAGGATTGTGACACCAACATCGAAGAGCCTCTTCGACAAGCTGCTAGTGCTGTATTGGGTGCATGGGTGCCGGTATAACACGGCTGTATTGGCTGCGAAGAAACAACAAACGACACAAACATTCTTCAACAAAGTTCTGTTTCCCTGTCATCTGACGCGGCGAAGCTCTCACCGACTGGTGTGGCTCCCTACTCCGTACCAGTACTGTACTACATTTCTGCAACAGTAGTTGCACAGGGTCAGTATGTGCTTCCCTCTGCTCCTAGGTAACTCTACATACCCTCAGGATCAAGGACAGTATGCTACGTAGAAAAGGTATGGTACTAACAGTCATTGAAACAAAGATCCTCTCAATAAGACTCTCACTATTAAATAAACTGCAACAGCGAAGATATAACACCGGCATTAAGACCAACCACATACTGAGAGGATTCCGATTTTGCCTTAAGTAGCCACAGGCGGTATCCAATGGATGCGTGCCTCTCTCCTCTCTCAGTTTGCCAGTGCAGTATGGTATACTCAATCAATCGTGCAACCAGCTCCCAGTACAGATCAATCGTTGGATCCTACGCCGTTGTCGCATACTAAAGGATCGATCATTGGTTCCTACCGTTGTCGCATACTCAAGCCAACGCCGTACGAATCGTTCCTGTATACTCAACCAAGAGGCATTCCCGTAGGATCGAGGCGATCGATCCTCTGGCTACCGGTAGCTAGCAGTTCAGTTCTTCATTCTTCATTTCAGAGCTCATTATTTTCAATCCTTCTACTTTGTAAAGGAAACTCTGCCAAAATTCCAGCTCAAGCTCATCCAACCAACAATTGCTTAGTTGACCAAACAATTCATCCACCATGGCCATGGCCAATGCCAATGCTAGAGCAGCCTTTGGGTTGGAAGACGTGCCGGATTTGCCTGAAGCACCCACGGAACAGCCCAAGTACAACCGGGATTACCATCGTCTCTTCGTCAAATTCATGAGCTGGCTGCACAAGAGGACGTACACCAAGGCGGCTCGCTTCCAACCTAGTGCTTTGGCCGGCATCCAACCACACCACGTTGCCGACTACTTGAAATGGCGTGCGTATGGTACGACCGATGTTGACTCCAAAGATCTTGAGCAGAATCCAACTTGCCGCTCCTCTACTCTTGAGCAAGACAAGAAGGCTATTTCCTTCTACATGCCCATCAAAGGTGCCACATGGAATGGAACCTCCGGCAATCCAACCAAGTCCGATCCTGTGAACGAAGTGTCAAGGAAGTCAAGAAAAGCGGAGACTCAACACCGCGGAAAAGTCCTGTGCCACCAGGATTTACGGAAACTGAGTATCGCAAGGTGGTCCATGAACTCTACGGCAAAGGGAGCTTTGAAGACCATCCGTACAGCCTGCATGTTGAAGCAGCAAGTCCATCTCATCACCAGGACGGATGACATCTCCAAGTTGAAGTATTCCGACTACAAGCCGCATCCAGACTTCCCTTTTGCGCTCAGTTGCAAGGTGCATTGGTCCAAGTAATATTTCGGAAGAACGAAAATGCCCCGACCAAATCATTTTTGGGTCGATGGATACCGACTTTTGTGCTATGCTCGGATGGGCGAATTACATGGAGGCGTCCTTCAACTACGGGTATGGCGCCGCTGGTCGGGAAGATGCATTCCTCTTTACTCCCGAAAGCGATCCCAAGTTGGCTCCCAAGCACTGCAACGCAGCCTACCGAACATTCTGAAGGCTGTCTTTTTGTCGGCTCCATTTTTGGCTGTGGCGCTCCTCATTGCTGGTGTTCTTGGGAGTAACAGCATTCGGAAGTTTGCTGCAACTCTGGCAAGAGGGATGGGTGCTACTGCTGAGAAGTTGACATTCGAGGTCGCTGAAGGCTCGCTTATCTGGACGGGTTGTTGATGCCTAAATTTCGCCTGAACAGCCCTGGATCGACGCTCGTGTTGCCGAAAGCTTTGCATGGGGGCTCCTATTGCCTACAAGCTACACCCGGATGCCAAGAGAGTGACTCCCGACTGGTTGATGAGCATGTGGTGCCAAGACCATGCGTTTTACGACGTGTCAACGACATTTCGCTTCACTTGGCTCTGCTCTTTTTGGCTGGCATCTGCGAATCTTTGGTAGGAGAGGATGGAGCCTCTCGTTCGTGTTAGGATCCAAGATGCGTACGAGCGCATCAAGGCCGATGTTCCTGTTTGGCGTCAACCCTGTTGGTGAAAGTGCCTCCTCTATTTGGACGCACAACACCAAGCTCCACATAAACGAAATCGAGCCGATGGGTACGGGAGGTGGCGGTGGCACAGCTGGTGGCACAACGGGAACGACCGGCCAGGCAAACACTCGTCAAGTTGCCAATCAGTCTCGGCAGGTTACGGCTATGCAAACGCAACAGAAGGTACGAACGAACGAGGAGATTCTGACAAGGATTATTGCGCAGCACAATCAGCTCCAGCAGCTCATTGCGCAGGAAGGTAGGACCCGCGACAGTTCCGCTGCTGCTTTGAGAGGTTGGTTGGAGACTTGTCTTGGCGCGGAGCTGACGAAACTCAATGGAAATATTTGCAGGTAAGTGTTGACTTGTGGCTGTTGGCTATTGCAACTATGGCTATTACTGCTGCTAACTATGTATTTTTGTATGTTTTTTAGGATTGCTGTTCAGCCTTCAAGGATGGCAACACCTGATCAGGTAGATGGTAATCTTTTTAGTAATGGGTTGACTGTGGAAAGGAATCGCCGGAATGGCCAGACTAGCCTCAGGTACAGACAAGCTGTGGCCACCACCCCGGCTGATAGTAGGCCTGCCAAACTAGCCAAGTACAGAACTGTTGGCTCTGCTTGGGAAGAGTGGATGCATGTTATTGGTGGCAACAAGCCAGCCAAGAACTTCATTGCTGATGATATCAGGGCTTGCAAGTCAACCTACTCCAGGAGGAAGCCACTCTGGACTCTCATGGCTACACTTGTCAATGCTCAGAAAGCTCCAGCTTGGGTCATCTCCAAGATTGAGGAGCATTACAAAGGAAGTGTTTTAAATATTACTGCTGCCATCAAGCAGGACACCATTATGGGCAGTCTGCATGAGGATCTTTGTATTGTTCGTGCTCAGTAAAGTTGACCTTAGTTTGATAAGCATGGTAGCCATGCCTAATAGTGAGTCTGTTACATGAGGACTTGTTGTGTTTTCGTTTTCGTTGACTTGTGCTTTTCGAACCACTTCGAACGACGTACTAGCTAGCTTCTACTAGCTAGCTAGCGAGCGATTCGAGACTTGTGCGTTTTCGAGTTTTCGAGATAATAGAGGTACGACGTTATCTTAACGGTGAGTAGTAGAGGTGCGAACCTCATTTATCTTACGGCCAAGGCGGTGACCTTTCGCTCGCTCCTCACTGGTATGAAGGAACGATCCTACCCAGCATACACCAGGTGTCGCCTGGTGTTGGATACCTTGATCAAAAAAAAACTGAACGTCTAATAACGGATTCAGACGAGATGTGCTTGAGGACTACCCACGAGCTAGGGCTCGGGTATTTCCCACAGTCAAGTCTGCTCACCGGCCACACTGCCTCCTGAGAGGGTGCGACGCCTGTTAGCTATCTAAGGATTTGTACACTGAGGTCAGAGCCATGATTCACCACAAATCACGAGCTCTGTGTTGAAGAGAGAGTTGGGGTTGGTAAAGAAGTTTGAGGGGGTAGGAGGGGTAAGGAAAAAGGGATGGTAGGAATGTCCGACTATCCTGTTTCCAGGGCTGTGGTGTAGTGACTCTCTTGTAACACAGGTTCCCATGTGGTGTTGGATACCTTGATCAATACGTCCTGTAGGATCCACTACCACAGGTACAGGCTCTCAGTATTCCTCTCAGTTCAGGGATATACTTTTACGGTACAACAGCCTTGGCAGTAGGGGTAGGGTGATTTGTCCCTCACAAATTTTTACCTAGGCTAAGTGTTCGTAAATCCACTTAGGCTAAGTGGATCAACTGTGAATCACTTAGACTGAGTGTTCTACTTAGCCTAAGCAAAACACTTTGGCTGAGCGATACACTTAGGCTAAGTGATGCTCTCCGAGACATCTTCTCAACAGCACAAGTCCCCACAAAGTCTGCATTACTGCTGATCCTCATCGCAATAGTAAACTATATTGGCCAGCAAGTGCTTTGGGGCTATGCAATGAGGGAATGATGGCCACACCAAAGGCACAACTAAGGACCAGATGGTAGGTACATACACTGAACATGTATTTGGAAACATTGGGAACATCCAAGATTTTGCAACAAAGCAACATCATTTGTACATCGGAATAGTACCCACAACTCCTGAGGAGTACTTTCGGACTTCCACCCTGGAACCGTAATAATTCCCAATCGTACAGAGTCTCCCTTGGCACTTTTTTGTTGTTGCGTATTTACACTATAGCCAAGGGTGGAAGCCAGATTAATTAATAGTATGCTGCCATGTATGGATGATACCATCCTACAGGGAAGTTGCAACCTGGATCTAAATCTCAGTCTCAGCCCAATTGAACTCTTTCTTGTGAAGTTCCTTGAGCAGTTCACAGGAAGCCTTGCGTAAGGTGGAGGATATGGTGGGTGATGGTTGTATTGGAACTTGTGTTTGCACTTTGTTTACAGCAAGCTGCGGGGACTTGTGCTGAACTTGTGCTGTTGAGAAGATGCCTTCGAGAGCATCACTTAGCCTACGTGTATTGCTTAGCCAAAGTGTGTTGCTATTTTTATGTGTTTTGCTTAAGCTAAGTGTTACACTTGGACTAAGTGGATTTGCGCGCACCAAAGTGAAAATTTGTGAGGGACAAATCACCCTTAACCCTGCGATTGTACTTCCTGAATTGTCAGTGTGTTGCCAGCCTAGCTTTGTCATCCGCAGGGAGCGAACAGACCTAGCTAGCCGCTAGGTGCTCGGGTGCTGTAGAACAACACCCAACCAGCCGGCCTATTCATCAAAGCTGTAATCCAAGAACATGAGGGTGCATGGGGGGGGGAGGGGGGGGGGGGGGGGGGGGGGGCATCTTTGCATAATTTCTTGCAGAGTTCCAACCCACGAAGTCACGCCCTCGCTGGAAGCCAGGTTGCGCCAGTGAGCAGAGGCATTTGGTGTCACAAATATTCCTGAACACACAAACATCTCTCTTTTTACACAGTTGCATTACATAGCTCTAACCCACAAAGTCGCGCACCCTTTGAACCAGCACCTCACTGGCAGCAATGTTGCGTGTCATATTGGCAAGTGGATCCGTAAACTTTTCCACAGCCTGTTTCCCAACGACAAAGGTTGTAATGTTTTCATTCAGATTGAGCAGCAGTATCTCCACCGACATGCCCGCAGTGACTCCGAAACTTGGATTGTCGATTGTCGTCCCTGTGAGCAGCGCAGTCGTAAAGTTGGTATTGGTACCGGTTCCAACAAGTCATCTAGCCCCTTTTGGTCCAGGTACTCTTCAAAGATCTGCGGAGAGCGAAAGGAGCCCAATACCCTGGGGCCCATAGAAAATCCCCAGGTCCAATGTTATTGTTGAAGTAGGTGCTAAAGTACTGCATACTGGGCGTAGTTGAATGTGTGTTCATTCTTCATTGGTGTTGGTGTGATGATGAGCTTGACCGTCTTCCCCTTGCTTTCCGTAGCGCCAATCTTTTGCTGGTAGTGACCCACATTGATAACCACGGCCGGGTTGTCAATGAACCAGCCGTCAATGAGAAAGCCGTCCTCTTCCGCGCACGTATTGGGCCACTGACTGCAAATAGCAAAGTTGTCAAAGGTTGAGTTTTTGTAGATCGCACCCACCCCGTTGTCATAGATGGTGGGGACCAGAATGCTGCCGAGGCCATAGAAGAGACCCGTAATGAGACCAATCAATGCTCCGAATATGATGCCAATACCGATTCCCATTTTGTGACTCATGGGCTTTTCACACAAGTGGCAATTGAAGCCGACATAGGACACGACAAAGTACCCACAATGGTAGCTCCAACTCCCGCAGCAATTCCAGCCAACACCCTCCAAACTGTTTTCACCGAGTTCTCCTCTATCACAAAGACTCCGATCGAGAGCATTTGATTGTAGACCACTGGGGACAGCGGAGAGCCATTTCCGCCCGCCGCCGAGCTAATGGAAGCCACTTGAATCACGTTCGTTTCCTCTGATCCTCCAAAGGGCGTTCGAAATATCCCCTTGGAAGTGGCTTTCACAGTTGCGGTATTGTTGATCTCAAGATTCCCCGTGGTAGGATCTCCTTGCCACAGGTAAAAGTCTCCCAATCGGACCACGAGTGCTTTGCTGGTGTTGGGGCAACATATGTCTGCAACTCGCTGGTTTATCTTCGTATCCATACCAGAATCGGGATCCCGTGTCGGCAACGATATAGGCCGCTGACAGAACACGGTGAACAAGCTTGCCGTGTCATCATTGTCATTGTCATGTCCAAAGTATACACCCGTAGTCCAGTCCACCTCGCCATAGTTGTCGGGTCGCACCCTAGAGGCTGGAACCAGGGCTGA